TATATACCTTTTAAAAAAAAATTATATATGCGTAGGAACACTTAATACGTGCAAAGTTGTGACTCATAGGTCTAGGTGATTGATTGTCTTCCAACTACTGGGTCACAAGTATTTTTTTTAAGCACGGATATCATGAAAGGTATCTTCTACAAATATTCTGAAAGTATGGAATGTTTGAATACTATTCTCACCGCCACAACACTTCCATCTGTCATCACCAACACACACCAATCTAAGATTGACTGCATGTGCATCGTCAACTCTTCTAACGGTGTATATCTGTGCAGGCAAATACAATGGTCGTCTAACTGACTGAATCTCAACATAGAACTTTGCACAGAAGTACAACAGTTCTAGTCTCCTCACTCCAAGTAGAGAAAAGAGAGGATGAAGAGATTGAAAAGACCTACAGTAAACAGAAATCTGAGGGATCTGAGTGAATAAAAAGAGTGAATACATGTGTACCATTAATTCTTAGCATTCCTAGGACCACCCATTAGGTACTCCTTACTCCTACCTACGTGGCTTAAACTAACTGTGAAAGACTTCATGGACTGATGGCAGGTTTTGGTTTGAACATCCCTAACTCTTTTCCGACGTAATCCTTTGTCAGTTAACATTGCTCGTCACTTGGGTCATATAGAAATGCAATTGTCTACTCGTATAATGGAGGAGGAAATATCTCCATGGCTGAGTCATATAGGAACATGAATATCCAAGGGCTTAAAATATGAGGATGTCTTCTGGACCACCGACTTGGTGTTGACGTTATAAAGTCTTTTACTGTTGTCAGTAAACAAGCAAGTAAGAAGATACTTACAGTCAGAGTCTATAAACCAAGTCCTTGTATGGAAAAGGAAATAGTAGTCCCATTCTTCTATTATTGTCATTATTACTGTCATTCGTTTCACAATTCTTAATAATACTGAATTCTCTTTTCGAGAATTAATTGTTCGTTATCATAATGACTTGTGGGTTGTAGTAACACAAAAAAACTTGGAGGATCTGGACTTCACCGATGATATATGTCTGATTTCCCACAAACTGGAAGATATGCAAGCGAAAAGCAACAAGTTGGCAGAAGAAGCATCAAAGATAGGACTTCAGGTGAACATAGAGAAAACAGAGGTGATGAAGATTCCTGGCCAACACCAACAGCAGCAACAACAACAGACAACAATCAGCATGAATGGGAGGAACCTGAAAGAAACAACCTCTTTTACCTACCTGGGAAGCATCGTTTCAACTACAGGCGGAACTGACGAGGATATCAAAGCAAGAATCGGAAAAGCAAGACAAGCTTTCACTACTCTCAAGTCTGTGTGGAGGTCAACAGCACTCAGCATGAAAAATAAGATCCGGATTTTCAACTCCAATGTGAAGTCATTGCTACTATACGGATCAGAGACTTGGCGCGTCATGAAGAGCATCTCAAACAAACTACAGACCTTCATTAACAGTTGTCTTCGCTCAATACTCAAGATCAGATGGCCGGCCAGAAAAGATCAGCAACAGGGATCTCTGGTAGCGAACCAACCAGGAACCGATTGTGAAACAAATATGCAGGAAGAAATGGAGATGGATTGGCCATACTCTGATGAAACCATCAAGTGACATCACTAGACAAGCCATTGCTCGAGTGGAACCCGAAAGGGAAGCGGCGAGTTGGTCGTCAGTGCAAGGGTGACTTGGAGGAGGTCATGTGAAGAGGAGATAAAAACGTGTGGGCAGACATGGAGCCAGGTGAAGACTCTAGCAGAGAACCGAACGCAATGGAGACGCACGGCTGAAGCCCTATGTTCCTCTAGGAATTAAAGGAAATAATAATAATGACTTAATTGAACTGCACTTTCGCTCTTCCGCAACCCTATCACGCCTTTCCACATCTGACACGTGACCCATAAATTCTTTCACCTTCATATATATATTGCTATGACTGATTTATTGTGACTTTATGTCATATGTATCACAAGGTAATTGATCAACTGACGAGTTTCATCACTATTGGCATAGTTTTTTTTGTTAAACCTTCCTTTGTTGCTTGTTTGATGGTCTCTGCATTCAACTTATTATTCGCTGTATACACTCTAAACTAACTTTTGGTGTACATCGTTTTGTGTGGTGTGTTTCTGTCAAATCACTAGGTGGCGTTTGTTGTCTAAAGTTTGAAAACACTGTTATCATCCTCGGTAGTGTAATTTTCCTCTATTAGCGTTTGGAAAAATGTGTTTTTTTTAAAGGGAAAACTTGGTCATACAAGTCAGTAGAATGGCAAAGGTAAATTTTATCATCGTGTAGAGCAGTAGTAATGTCAAATCGAATGATTTTGCCGAAGAAGCATGCGTAATCAGATTAAAGAGGCCGGATCTATGTATACAGAAGGAGAGACAGTAGTTAGGTTAAAATCCACCTTGTTGGAATACTTTTATATTTTACTTTGATAATTTTCTTTCCCTATCCCTCTTCTCTTCACAGTTTTTTTCCATTATTATTATTATTATTAATAATTTATCTGACATACGGCTAGTTTTCTTATGACATGTGCAAAATGAAAATCGTAGTTGAGTATTAATCTTGGTGAGGAGTGTTCAAACTTTCCTATGAGTTTAAATAAGACACATTAAAACCCTGTTGTTTAGTCCTATAATTTCAAAAGAATGGACACGGAACAAAGAGTACTCTTTTCGATAAATTCATCATCAGGTTCTACAATTATATATACATTATAATGAATGAATGAATTAGTCTTATGAACGACATTAATGTTTAAATAACATCAAATCAATAATATTGATAAATTACAGATGAACAGCATCAACATAAAATAAACTGAATGTCAGGAGAATTAGGAAAGGTAATAGTACAAATTCATGAGTTCATAGTCTCTACTGAGGGCCAGGACAGTAGTAGGGGCTGGACTTGTTTCTTTTGGACACAGAGCACTGGTTGTTTGAGGCGAATTGCAATAGCCTCTGCTGTTTGGAGCAAGCGGTGCTTCGACAATTTTGGTAGTTTGTTAGGCACCCGGTATATTATGGAGAAGGATTCGTCTACTCTGGCTTTGTGACCGGTTTGCACCAGATCGTCTAATATTGAGCTGTTAATAGTTTTAACTACACCTTTACTTAGCCATAGTGGGATATGTTCTCGAGCACGAAATATCAAGTTCCAGCCCCTACTACTGCCCTGGCCCTCAGTAGAAACTATAAACTCATGAATTTGTAATATTATCTTTCCTAATTCTTCTGACATTCAGTTTATTTTATGTTGATACTATTTAGCTGTAATCTATCAATATTATTGATTCGACGTTATTTAAACATGAATGTTGTTCATAACACTAATTCATTCATTCATTATAATGTATATATAATTGTAGAACCTGATGATGAATTTATCGAAAAGAGTACTCTTTGTTCCGTGTCCATTCCTTTAAAAATTTTAATGGTCATTTTAATCAGTTAAATTTATTTGTTTTTTACAAAGTTTCTTTGCATTTTAATTTTATTTCCAAATCTAAAATGGTATTAGATAATTAATAGGACCCGTTGCAGAAGAGGTGGCTTTCGTGGCCCAAGTGATCTAGTGGATAACGCTTTGGTGTGTGAAACTATGGGCACTGGGGGTGTAGGTACATCCAGATGACGAGTCCCAAATAGGACGGAATGCGCATCCCAGATTCCACTGCTAGTCACCATCAACCAATTGTCTTCAAATCTAGATGTTTATAATTGCATTAATGCTACCACAATAACTCCAGTTTATATGTTTTGGTGAGAGCTGTCTGCTAGCCAAAATTGGCAGACAGCAATTTACGTCAATGTTTACGTCCCATATCTTGATCATGAGAAAAAAAACAAGAACAATGACCTAAATCAACAAACAATCTCAGCAGACTTTGCGTGGGCGGATACGATTCGCAGATATATGGTCTGACCATCAAAGAAACGGCCATAAAGAGATGATAGAATAACTTTCAGCGGGGAAACAACCAATCAGAAGACGCTGTTTCTCTGCTAATAATAACGAATAATAATGTGCATAAATATCTGTTGATTTCCTCAATAAACGATCTGTTGCTTGACCCTTATCTTCTGCCGTTACAATGTTAATATGTACTTTTATGAATACTATTCACTTAATAATGACGTTAACAGGTTATTACTCATCCCTTATAAGTCATATATTTGTTGAAATCGACGTTTATTTGTTGTCACAACGTTCATGTAATGGTGTGTATTTAACCTTAAAAAATTGTACAAATAACAATATTCGTAGAGTGAGTATTCAGCTGAGGAGTCCTACCAGAATTTATGACTCACTAAATACTCCTTTTTTTTCACGATTACTGCTTGTTTTAAAGGAAGCACTGTTTGCATCTATCATTTTTTAAGTGAATGACGATTAGACTCATTTGAACTATGCTTTTAGTAATACTGAATTCTATCAGTCAGGTTTGCAATGTGGCCACCATTCTAGGTAGCTCGCTATCACGGTGCACATTGATTTGATGATATTAGATGGTTGGAGGCAATCGGCCACAGGAAGCCTTGCTTGACCTAGGTTTCGTGCTAGTTGGCACTCACCAGTCAGTCAGCAAGGCGTATCTTCAACCTTGAAGGAACTCATATCCCTTCTGAGACTGCAGAACTGGGTGAAGCGTGTTCGAATCTCAGAAGGGACATGAGTTCCTTCAAGGTTGCAGGTACGCCTTACTGACTGGTGAATGCCAACAAGCACAAAACCTAGGTCAGGCGAGACTTCCTGCCGACTGCCTCCAACCATCTAATATCAATGGCGAGCTACCTAGAATGGTGGCCACATTGCAGACCTGACTGATAGAATTCAGTCTGCACTAAAGACAGGACTAGAGAAATCACACTAGTTGCTAGCGTCCAATGAAACCTGATGAATATTTAGTAAACTCCACTAGCTATTACATAGTAACCATGTCTTTTCACATATTCCTTTCGTTTTTTCTACTCTTCTTTATTTCACAGGAAGTTACTTGTGTTGATTTTCATCCAGATCCAACCTTACAAATTCTTGTTAGTGGAAGTAAAGATTATACAATTAAGCTGTTTGACTTTTCTAATCCATCTGTAAAGAAAGCTCAACGTAATATTCCGGTAAGTAGCTGTAATACTGTTTATATATATATATATATATATATATATATATATATTTGAATAACATTTCAATATTTTCAAGAGTTAGTATGCTGAGATTTGATTTGTTTCAAGTTTGATCACGGACTGATGTCAGTTAGAGAACGGTTGAAAACCACCAGGAAGTATACGATAGCTGTTTCGTCTTGGTTTGCGACTCTTCAGTAGTACGCACCCATTGGGACTCGAGCCCAGTACTTGCCGGTTTCAAGGCAAGTTCTTAGAATGCTCAGTCATTGGTGGTAGTTGATGCAATGGCGCATGAATCCCAACATCTGCCAATTCGCGTTATGTAGCGCTACCGACAGCAAATATCATTGGTGGTTAAGTGTCCTCTTACCTGACTTGGTTTACCCCCACTGGTCACAACTCACTAATAAGATTTGAAGAGAGAAAGAACGAACATGTTTGCAGGATAATACGAGCTCATTTTATTTCGTGGATACTCGTCAACTGCATGCATCCTAAATAAAATCAAATTATAAGTTTCAAAAACGTTTTGGAACAATTTTTTCCATAATTTTCAAGTATTGGTTTGGTAGGGATTTCGTTTAATTGCATGGAGGATTTCATCATGAGCTGACATCAGTTAGAGAGCCACTGGAAAACCTGGGAGTACTAGACAGCTGTTTCGTCCTAGTTTGGGACTCTTCAGCAGTACGCGCCCACCAGGATTCGAACCCAGGACCTTCTGGTTACAAGGCGAGCTCGTAGACCATTAAGCCACTGGGACCCGATCCAATGGCCAGTCCATGAATTCGAACTTCTGCCAATTCACGACATAACGCGACCATTTCGCAATATCTTCTTAGATGAGTTACTGCCTTATCTTCAACCTGCTGTACGCTACTGGTCACGGCTTCCCACTAGAACCCCAGGTTAACTGCCTGAATAGGGCCAGTCACTAGTGAGCATCAGATTAATTTTCAAGTATTGGTTTGGTAGGGATTACTTGGAGTTATGGATAGAAGGTATAAGGAACATAATTCCAGAATTTGATATAAGTAGACAGATTATTCGATGTCAAAAAACAGCTAATTATATATAGTGGAATTAAATAAGAGTGGTTAGAGTTCAGATTTCTATTGGAAAACACAGATTGGTTGGAGGTATGTTATAGGGTCAGGTTCAGAGAACAGAGTGAATTTACACATCTTGTGGTGGAGAGTTTAAGAGGATGGGGGTGAATAGTGAAGTAACATTTTTAACTTAAACAGACAAACAATTAAGTAGATTTAGAAACTTGAAGGTCAAAATTGAATAGAATGTTACGTAACAAGACAAACACACAGGCATACTGACAAAAAGGCAAAAATAAAATAGAATTAGGGTTACCAGCATAGTGAAAGATTAATCACACTATCTTTCTGTATACAGAGGTCTGGTCGAAATCTCTTGATAGCAATGGCTTCTGCGAAGCGAAGTAGCCATGGGTTTCTTTGTGTATTGATTATTTTGAAGGCTTGGCTAATTTCTACTGTGTGTCCTGTGTCAATTAAATGTCTGGCGATTGCACTGGATAACACTTTTCTTCTTTTTGTACATAGACTCTTAGGAATGTGCCCACTAATAGGACTCCAGGTAACTTCTTAGAAGGAGCCAGATATTAGTTTACAGGGATCTGAATGTTTCTAATAAGTATGCCTACATATTCTTATTTTGATGTTCCCCAATCAGTATATTTCTCTTTCCATGATATGGTTGTATTGTGTATTATATTGTATAGCATATCTCTTGATGCTCATACTGTAGCAAAATTGTGTAATATGTATATAACTACCGTACTAGCACAACTTGATTAAGCATTGGCTTAGAACACCCAATTATCCCCTTCGGTTTATTTTCAAATTACGTCGGTGGCATAGCGGTTAGGACTCTCGCCGACCATGCACATAGTCTGGGGTTCGATCCCCTACCGTCGCACACCTGATATCAATGGTCGGCCTGCAAAATTTGGGCTACCGATATCACATACTTGTACCGAAAATACTGTGTGGTTTCAAGCTATAATCAAAAATAAATAAAATAAAATAATTCATAATTACGATTTTTCATAGTTGAATAGACCTTTGAAACAACAATTGTCATGTCAAAGACGTTTTCTTTTGGGAACACATTGTGACAAGAGTGTCTCTCTGCAAGGGGCATGTGATTTGCCAACTCTCTATAAGAACAACCATTTCACTTGTTGAATAACCATCAGATTTTCACAGATTTTTATTGCACATATGCTCCTGCAAACTGATCAGCTAAATGAAGTTAGGTTCAAGGATTTTACTGTGTCATCCAAGTTTACCAAGGTAAACCTCGGGAGGATGTGTAGCCGAAGAGAAAATCTCGAGTTTGCGACAGTCAGTTTCATTTGTCTGACTGTGTGTGTGTGTAATGTCTGGTGCAAAATTATTTTCATTCTTTTTTATTGTCAGTAGTATGCTTTACAGAGCTAGAATTTTCCCCCATCTGGATGAATTACATTCGTTCATTTGACTTAAATGTCATTGCTTGCGTTTTGACAATTTTGGCTACACCATTTAATTGACATTACAAAATACCACTATAAATCACCTGGTGTGGCCTTCTGTCTTCCTCTCGAGATGCGTTCATGTGGTCACGCGTGTTCGTAAACTCTGCCAGGTAACTCCTATTCACTGTCTCAACGAGTCGAGGTTGATCCCCACAAAAGTTAAAGGTCAAATTTGAACGTCGGGCGTTTACAACCGGACTAGTGGATGTGCAGGTCCACCTACGGGAGCTGGAGAACCCTGATTACAAACCTATGGTATACATGGTCTCCAGGATCCGGACGGATCGAATGACGTGTGAACGTGTTTTAGTCACTGTCAAACATGGAATCGTAGCTCCTTACGCTGTTCCACTGCCTTGTAGATCAGACTTCAAGTCAAATCCTCGTGGGGGATAGCCCTCTAGGAGAAACACCTGCTTCGATCTGGGTGTCAAGGCAGTACTTTAACCCTGGCATAAATCATGAGATTTTGTGTGGCGCATTTTTGGTGCTCATAATGTACCAAATCGCTGAATGAACGACCACTAAAAATTAACTAACGGCAAAAGTCTAACTTATCTTTCTTAACATTTCGTTCTCAATGGTGAAGTTATTTTCGAACACTACAACTGCTTTTGCATGTCAACAACCAATCATGCATGATTGATGCTACATGTGTATTTCTCATTGTAAGTATAACACTTTATGTAGAGTTATTCAACTGAAAATTTCTACCGAGATGTGGATGACTTCATTAAATTCTGCTTTATTGACATTTTCAAGTGCTACTTCAGGATTTGATGATTTCAATTTTAACCACGAATTGACTTCAGTCAAATCCCTGCCAGCCAACATTTGAAAATGATTCTAGTACTCAGTAGTGACTCATTACAGGATGAATTGATAGGTCATCCGATTCCGTCCCATTGGCTCAATAGTATACGAACTTGGCTTGTAAAATGAAGGTCGTCGGTTCGATTCCTAGTAGGATCATGGGTGCGTACTGATGAAGAGCCCCAAACAAGGACGAAACAGGCGTGTAGTACTCCCTGGCTTTTAATAGAGTTCTCTAATTGAAATCAATTCTAGATCGAAATTATTAACATTTGTTGCTTGTTTTAAATTCGGATTGGGAATATGTAGATGCTAACTGTTAACTGTGTGTAAAAATGAAAAAGGGCGCTAACAGTTTGACGCGTAAACCAAGCTAGTTGCAGTTACAATTCATTCCTATAGCGCATGTTAGGACATTCAATATTTTCAATCATGAATTCAATGCATATATGTTATCTTAACATAGTGTAACCAATGTACTTCAGTTCATTTCAGTAATATATACATCTAGTGTTTTATGACCTTTAACAGTTTAACGCATGTAAGCATCAATAGATAGACACACGAGCACATCCACACTTGCTTACATTTCTTATCTTTAATCGATTCTCTATGATGAATATCTTTCATTCATTTATGACCTGCATATAGTGTCACATAATAAAGTCATCGATATTCTTCTAAGCTTTTTTTTAAAACTATATACCCCATATAGAAATATAAACCTGTTATAATTCAAAATATTAAATAACAAATAATTTATTACACAATGATACACACACCCAAGTTGCATTGATAACTGGATAGACGTGTTTACTTGCCTGAACTGAAATTTTCAATATGTCTATAAATAACAATAGCCCGTCTAGTTTGTTGTTCGATTAACTCAACTCAATTCAATTCAACTGAGTACTTTTTACTTCTCTTGCCGTGGACAAAAGAAACTATATTTTATTTTAATTTGTTAGATTTTATCACTAACTAACATCAGTTAGAGAGTTTGTTGAAAATGGAGAAGCGCTAGACAGCTGTTTCGTCGTATTCTGTAACTCTTCAGCGATGCATACACATAACCCTGTCGGAGATCGAATCCGGTATCTTCCGGTTACCAGACCAAGAAGTTTGTTAAACATTCAACCTTGTTGCGCCGGAATTCAATGATCCGTGAATTCTAACTCTTTCAACTCGTAATATAACACTGTCCTCACCAGCGTTTTCGATGAGCATTCACTTCACATCACCGGAAAAACCCATTGAGTCATGAAGAAAATAAAAGAGAAATTCAGCGAAGAAAATTTTCTTCAGCGACGAAATCATCTTCACAGGCTGTACAGTAGTATTTATATTTACCAAAAATGTATAGTAGTCTATTATTGAGTAATAGGGGATGACATAATTGATATAATTACCCAGAGGTGGCTTTAGAAGTAAAAAATAAAAGTTACTAGCTCAATTCTCGAGCACTTGATGAACTCAAACCACATATCTCCACCAGAGTCGTCCTTCAAGATCATCTACAAGATGAGGCCAAATGGTACAAAGGGCATCAGGTTTCGGCTGTTGTGTATGGCGGAGGCGCTGGCAATTTGTCAGTACAACTCCGAACTCTGTATGCAGGAAAAGT